TAAGAATATTTTTTTTCAGTTGGGGCTATCTTCTGTAAGAAAATTCCCCCAGCTGCCTCCTCCTGTTTGGTTGCAACTATCTGTGAGAGTTGGAAGAGCAGAGAGGAGCTTGCTCATTTTTTTGTTCTGGCCCTTATGGTATTGGGTCTGTATGGGATGGACTCATATGGTTGTGACTGAAGATAATGCTCCAAAAAATGATGCTGCTATAAACAAAACTACACTACTTGATTTGTGTACATTTTTAAAATAACAGACTTATGAAAACAGAATTGCTATTATTAGCATAACTGTTTTTTCCTTGTAAAAGGCACAGATCACATGTGCTTCTTTCCTGTGAAATGTTTTATTTTTAGGTCTTAACATATGCAGGTTCTCACCATGCCTTTTCAAAGAATTTGTATCAATGCCTCAGCAAATTTTCTGAAAATCTCCTTCTTTAGTATTGTGGTTTATAGTGTAGATTTTTTTCCACCGTAATTTTCTATATCCCTCATGTTTCTAAGATTTTTTTTTTTCACAATCTCTTTTTTTTTTTTTTCCCCACATGCAGATTTTCTTCATAATTAATACCAAAACTACTATGTGAACTGACAAAGATGACTTTTAGGATAGATTGGCAGGCAAGCTAAATTAGTCCTATTTCATCTCTAACATAGGAAAGGGTAGTACGATTTGTGTTGAAAGGCATATTATTTTAATGCTGATTGCTCAGTATCTTCTGTTGCTTAAATAATTTTCATTGTGTTTCACAAGTGGTTTGGTTTGTTTTAAAGTAATGGCTTTTATTAAAGTTACACAGTTATGTGCCTCGCTTGCTGAAGACAAAACATTACTCCACCTATGAGGTGATTTCATGAGAGAAGCATATCTTTTGGCATAAGTTTTCAAGACTCTCTATAATTGTTAGGTTGTAGCTTAGTGTGTAATAGCACCGATTGCATTATTGGATCTGCAAGAGTGTTGTGTTTTTTATGATATTTTCTGTGCAGTGAGTCATAATATTATAATAATAATAATAATAATAAGGTATAACATGGCATCATTTGTGCGTTTTTCTACTGATAAAATATCCCCGGGCATATCCTGCCTGCCATGTTACTTAGGGCAGGCTTTAAAAATGTCTTTATATTTCAGACCTGTCATCTGTTTGTAAGCTTTGGGCTTGGTCCCCAGGAGCTGTGCAGGCTGGTGACCCCATGGTGTTTCCCTTCCAGCCAGGCTTATTTCAGGAACCGAAGCACCTGTGAAGGCGGGGCAATGCCAGCGACTCCCCAGACGTTTCCAGCCCATTTATCCTGAAAGTAGGGACGGAGCAGGAGGATGAAATGGATGGACCTGTTTAGAAATCGTTCTCTTGGCCTACTTTAAAAGTAAACACAATTTGAGCAACCTGGGTGTGCCCATCAGAGGGGTGGCAGGTGGGAGAAGAGCAGCTACTGGCCACCAGCAACCCTGGAGCTGGATGCCAGGGGACCCTGCATAACCCCAGGAGAAACAGGGCCCTGCCAGGGTGCAGGCAAGTCAGGTCAGAGGGGTGCTTGGCCAACTGTCCTGTCCCAGTGGCCCAAGGCAGATGCTGAGGTAGAAGCAGAAGAGCAGAACAGGCATGTATATACTCTTCCCAGAGTCCTTTTCCAGGACTCCAAGACCTTCTGAGTCAGGTATGATTTCTGTGCGTTTGGCAGCCTTGTTATGTCCATTAATTTGTCCATTCCCAGCTTGAACCAGTACAGACCTCCAGCATCCATGCTTTCCTGTGGCAAGAGGTTCCACATTGTAACCACCTTTCTGTGCCAGAAAAGGTCCTGTTTTATTAGTTTGGAGCTTAGTGGCCTCTTTCGTTACCTCCTAGTTCTTGCATTGTACAAGGCAGAGAATGATCAGTCTCATGCTGGACACAGTTTCCAGATCTCTGACAACATAACATGTGATCTTCCAGAACATAAAATCATTAATAGCAGTATCTTTTAAAAAGCAATAATTTTGTCAGACCCACATGAGAAGACCCTGTTTCTCCTTGTCATCCCTCCAAATACAACTGTAAACTCTCTGAGTTAAGTCATTCTGTTTGATCTCTTTTGTACTGTATACTTACTTTAATATCTTACATTTTATAATCTCTTGCATCTTGGCACAAACCCCTTTGTGGCCATCAGATAAGGAGGATGATTTTAGTTTAACTGAGTCCCCCAGAAACAGCTGAGAGTAAAAGTAGAGCCCTAAGCTATAGAGGTGGCTTTAATAAATCCATGGAAGCATAGACTTTTACTGGAAAGAAAGTGTAATGAATGCTGAGAAACTATATAGCTAACTTCAGCAAGCTAAACTAAATATATTTTAAGAGATCAACTGTCTAAATTTCTAAATCTGGAAAAGGCATACAGATGTTATAGAAGTCCTTGAGCTTCCCCCAGGTGGATGAGTATCCTAAATATTTTATATTAACTTCTAAGAGGTATTAGAGAATTGCAATCAGTAACTCAAACAGCATCTCTTTTAGGGGCTCCTCAATAATGGGTCACTCGCAGGCTGCTGTGCAAAGCATCAATATAGGTATGTGGGCCTGATCAGAATTAAGGGAGTCTAGAGGGCGAGTCTGGGGGCAGCTGGTCACACTGGTTCTGCAGTGGCCGCAGGAGTCTCTCACTCTTTCTTCCTCCCCTATTAACAGCTGCTCAGATACGTTCCCTCCCTTGCATCAGCTCTGAAGCTTATTGTACTTCTTCCAGGGGCTTCAGTTACCTAATGCAGCAAAAACATGGGTTTGTTGAACCCTCCCAAGTGTACTTTGATGAGTGCCAGTACTGACACCAAGAGTGTTTTGATGAGTGTTAGTTCTGACACGAGAATATTTTGATGAATGCTCGTGCTGACACAAGGTAGGTGCAACGCTTGCTGCTGAGGGGGCACTGAGACCTCCAGCTTTCAGCAGCAACCAACTGTGAACTCACTGTGGCTGAGGGACCCCACCTCCATGGACAGTTGTCCCGTGGATGCTCCCATTCAGAAATTTATTAGCATCCCTCTTTTTTGTTGCCTCTGTCGCTTGCAATTAGATACAACACCCAGTTTCCATTGACTCATTGACAGTCTCTGTGCATTTGAGATTCTGCCAACATGTCCTATAGCCTAATTAGCTACCTGTACATTTTTGTGTATAAACTCTGGTGCATTCACATCCCCTCACAACTCATTTTTTTGCTAGACTTCAGGAGCTTTGCATTCCCTTGTTATCTCAGGAACCTCTCTGTGCTTCCAGGTAATTGAACTTTCTAAGCAAAGCTGTCTAGTACCTGTCTGCAGTATTGGAAAAGAGGTCTCCTTGGACAGTGGTATTAGTCTTACCTCAGTTTGACTGGAAATACATCTTCTTTGATGTATTCTGGAATGACAGTTGTGTTTTCAGGAAGACACCCTATTGATCTGGCAAATCATTTTGCCAGAAACAAGTGCAGTCATGTCTCTCTTCCTTATAAACCAGGCCCTCCAAAACAACATAATAGAAATTCCCTCCAGCCCTTAAGTGCATAAATTTGCTGTTTGTACATTTGAATTTGATCCTATTTCTAATATCCAGTCCTGAAGATCATCCAGCTCTTTCCTGTGGGATTTTTTTCAATCTTCTTCTTTATTCCCCATGCTTTCCAACTTAGCATTATCAGCATATTTCATTAGAGCGCTCCTGATTTTTGTGCCTGGGTTATTAATGCAAATACCAAGCTGGCAGTTTGTAGGGCTCATATGGAAGGACCCATACTACCAACCTTGTCCTGCTTGGGGCTCGCTTTGGGTGGTCACCGATGCCTACGGGAGCGAAAATGTCTATGGCCCTGGGTGCCTGTTTAGCCAGGGTGAAGCTCTGGAAAGCCGAGTGGCTGCAACCCTGGGTGCCGCTGTCCTTGTCCTCCCGCAGTAGGTCAGTTCGCCCGTAGCCTAGGTGTTTTGTTGTTCGAAGGAGAAACATTAAATTTTGCCTCTTCTGCTGAGAAGGTCTGTGCTCGTTGCCTCTTGTCCCGTCAGTCAACCTGCCTCTTGCCATGTCTTCTTTACTGATTTGTCATCTTTTCCAGTTTAATCGCCTCTTGGGTGGGACTATGTAAAATTTTTATACAGATTTAATCTCAGTAAAATTTTGCAGTCTTTGAGAATGTTTAGTGAAATTTCTGATGTGGATGATTTGCTTACCTAGAAAATAACTTAGGAGGGAGAGGATTTGACTGGTTTAGCATTGAAATGTCTTAGTAAATACAGTGTGCATTTAACTTATATACGTTTGCCTCAGGTCTGATTGTTTTTTCTCTTCAGTGTTTGTTCCAAAGCCTTGTGTACTTTTGAGGCTCAGAGCATTTATCCCTGATGTTGCTAAAGCTGCAGGGCTCCCGGGTAGAGCGAGCGTGAGGGAGGTGATGGAGGCCTGCCCTGGGGCCTGAGGACAGCATGGCGCCCGCCGCCTGCCTCAGAGCTTACACCAGCTGGAACTGGCTGTGAGCCTACGGCATGGTGCAGCTCCTGTGACTGATGGCTTTGCCTACCCATTCGGCATGATCCTGAGCTCACCATATTGGTCATTTCGCTATTGTGCTGTTGTGTCCTTAGGAGTCTGTCGAAGGCAGCTGCCATTTTCCCTCTGGTTTCTCATCCTTCTGCTTTCTTCTTTTTTTTTTAAAGTTCACCTAACTTCTTTACTGTTTGCTTTTAGCAGCAAATAGAAAAGTCTCTTGAATTGAAATCATTATCAGTGGTTGGTTTCAAACCTTCTATGAAGAAACCCCCCTCAGTTTTCCTTGTCCCGCCTTCTGGTATTAAAAATCAATGTATCCCATGCACTGTGTAACTCCATCAGAGGTGGTTGTTTCAGTGATTTCTATGAACATTTTAGGAAAAGTATCCTGCAGGTTTTGCCCTTTTCAAATGTAAATGTTTAATCAGTGCTTACTGAGAAGGAGTGCAAGAACACATGTGTGAGGCTTATGGTTCTTTTTTTCTTCTTCTTGCAGTGACCTGCTGTCTTCTGAATATCTTGAGAGGCATATCGAGCAAGGTGGGAAGACAGTGGAAGTTAAAGTAAGAATTTCCTTTTTATGCTTTGCTTTTTTAATTTACTTTGCTTTTGATGTTAATGCAAACTCACCTGATTTCTTGAGAGATACCTGATTTTTCAGGTGATTTGTTTTACTCTTCTGAGACAAGCATGTTTCATGTCTTATAACTTTAAAGCTTTTTAAATAAGACAAACTTTATTGGAAAATTAGTACATTAATGTTTATATCAAAATGGTATCCATGAAAAATGCATATATGTTAGTTCTCTTTACTAGTAAATATCATTTACTTTTGATGCCTATTGAGGAAAATCTTTCTGGTTTGGTAGCTAGCATTTCCTCTTTGTATTAAACCCCAAGTTTGTTGTTTTTAATGAGCTTCTTTGCAACTCTGAGAATAGCGAGATATATTGTATAATATTTCTAAATATCTAGTCACCGTCTCAAATCGTGAGATTCTTTCTCTGAATGCTTGTTGGTGTGATGGCTACAGGATCCTGTTTGATGCAGTTGTCTTCTGTGAAATGTCCCACTGCCTTTGCAGGAGTGTTTTCTTATTTGCATGCAACATGGGAGAATTTTCTTGAGGACTTTCTGTTTGTTAGGATGATATTTTGTATAAAATTGCTGTAGATTACATAAAATGTGCATAAATGTAATATATGCTGTGCATAATGGAAAATCTTTAAATTTGTCTATCAGCTCAAATTTGTTCAAAGTTTACATTTTATTAAAAAGCTCTCAAAAGTCTTTTACTAACTCTGAGATCATCTAAATACCCTGAAACAAGTGTGTTAACCTCTGCAATGTGAAAGTGGAAGTGGAAATGGACAAGGCAATCTTTAGCCACTGAGTACCTGAAGATACGTATTTCCTTTGCTTTATCCCTTTCTAGCATTTGCAAACTTGAAATCTGCTTTCTTTTTACTCTCTGATAATAGTCTGCATATATTATCAGACTGAGGCAAACACATACGTGTTCCATTAAATTGTAGAGACTAATTTCTCAGTCAGCCGTGCTCTGCAGTCAAGAAGTCTTGATTCAGATTCAGAGTATGAGTCAAAGCAGAAATAAAGATAATAGCCGATATTAATAAGAACAAAACAATCCATTTGTCTGTGTCAAGGTATATATGCAAGTTAGCTAAGTTAATCTATCTGATTCTCATCACTGAATTAGGACAAATATGTTTCTGATGAGTAAGCCTTAATCAAGCAAGGAAATGTTTGAAATCAGTGGTTCTTCTCATGTGAGCACTCTTTAATTGCATGGGGAAGAGACAAGACGGTTGGGCCTTTCAGAGGGAGGGTCATAAAATGTTTTCTGGGCAAAACATCTGCCAGTCTCAAGGGTCCCAGAGATTATTTCCCCTTCAGTTAGCTGCCGTGCAGGGTTGTGTACCTTCAGGGATGGCTATCACTGCCTTGCTTAGTCTTCTCAAATCTGCTCTAAGTAGAGAACCAGCGTTTCTGTGTTGACCTTGATGCTTGAGATGAACTGAATTGGGAGTGAAAGGGTCACAATGCTGGGCTGCAAAGGAGGGGTGTTGCTGCTTGGGTGGTGTGTTTTCATCTCCATGCTGCCTTCCACCTTTCCCACCCATGGGCCGGGGTGGCCGGGGCGTGTGTGTGTGGCTCCTCTGCCCCATCCTCACCCACCGCTCTGGGAGTAAAAATCCTATGGAAGTGTGCCAGGACGGTGAATGTGTATTTTTTGCTTGTTTTGTTGCATCCGCGTGTCTGGGATTGGAGGAGAGGGAAGCAGCTGCTGTGACAAAATGTCTGGAAGAGCCTGTTGGCCGCAATCATGGGCACATTTTCAGAAAAGTTCAGATATCAAAAGATTTTTGGAAGAGTGCAGGCTGCCAAGAACATTTTGATGCCGGACACTGAGTGAGGCTAATTTCAGTACCCAAGAGCTGTTTAAAAATAAATCTGGTTCCCTCTGACCAGCCAGTATTTTTCAGAGCACCTGTAAGTGCCCTGGAGAGCCCTGTTCGTCTATCAAACAATTTCTGAAAAGCCCAGCAGTTATCTCTTTTGCATTTGAGAAACTGAACTCTGGTTTTACATCAGCTGTTTTGAAAATCTTACTGCAAATACAAAAATTTTTCATGATGGTGATTTAGTACCTTCAATTTCTGTGGAAACTCTTTACCATAACTGGTAAAACCACCTTTAAATTGGTACTTACAATACACACCAGGCAAAACACAATTATTATACTAGGTTTTAGGTATTGTGCAGTTTGGTTAGATGCTTATTTAAAAATAGCTAGTTAAAGGTTGCAACTCATAAATAAATCACAAAATATGCACTCTGCTACGCAGCATATTCTTAAGCAGAAGCAGAAGAAGTATTTCAGAAAGGAGCCAGGTTTCTATCAGTTGCTTCAACATGTTGCTCTTCACCCACCTCTGTGCGACTTGTCTCTGACTGTAGGCAGAAACAGAGGCGGCCTGGCAGCATCCCTCTTGCTGCTTTGGTGGGAGAAATGGTGACAGAAAGAAAATGTCCATCTGCCATCCGCTGCCAGCTGCAGGCTTTGAGCAAACCTGTTTATACAGCAAAAGGGCCTTCTCTATTCTTAGCCTTCTTAGTGGCATAAGGAGAAATGTATTTTAAAATACATAGATATTTCCCCCTTGCACTTCTCAGGGCAGGAATACTGCACAAACATGCAAATCATCAGTGCTGCTGTTGTCCCATCAGCAATATGGGAGAAGACAGGAGCTTTGAATCGCTGTAGGAAGGCAGCTGTACATACACTCAGCGGTTTGGGAACATTACTGGCATGAATGTGTCCGGGAAGCAGATGCCTGCCTTGGCTCATATGCGATGTGGAGTTGATAACTACTTTTGCCACTCCTCCCCCTCTCCATCCCCTCCCAGTAGAACTTCTTGTGCTGTAAAATACATATGAATCTTCTGCCGTTACTTAGGATGCTTCAGGGAGGAGAGGGGGGCAGCGAAGGAGAAATGTTCAGATCATTAAATATGCCACTTTGAAGGAGCAAAGGGATTTTTATAGGGAGGAGAGTCCTCAGTTTAACACACCTTTTTATTATAAGGGAAAGTTGACTTACATTTGATTGCTGCATAGTTCTTTAATATATTGGACCATTGTGAAGGTGGAACATGTTACACATATTTTTGCAGGGTACCAGCATTCAGCAGCTGCAGAAGAAAAGCTTCTCTGTGAGATGTCCTTGTTGATTTGGCAGTTAGGCAGCACCTAAGACATTCTTATTAAACCAGCCGCAATGTGCAGTGCTTAAGAAAAACAAAAGGAGGTAGATCTTTGAATTCAGCGTTTCCCCCCACACACTCCTTTACCTCAGATCATGTCTCTAACTGCTAGGAAAGCAGCAGTACTGGCCTAAATTCCCTCTGGTAGCAAAGAGAATAATCAATTAATAAGAAAGAGTAAAACCCTTCATGCATTGTCTTTTCCTGATTGTGTCAGTCCAGATCATCCCGTGCTCACAGCACATAAATACTCGAGTGTACTTAATGTTGCTGCAGTATATCTCTGTGTCCTTTTATCTCTCTCTCTCTCTCTTTTTTTGGGTTATCATTCTGTCACTGATGCCGTCAGTGAGATGAAAGGCAAAAAACAGCTATAGTGCTGAGTAATTCACATCGCTGGATTTTTCTCCCTCAGAAGGAACAGCTGATACCTATTCAGTGATATTTTCTCATGTAAAATGTTTCAGTTTTGCTCTTTGGAGAATGTAGAAATGTATGTTTCTGCCTGTATTCCCCCAAAACATTGGACAATTCTATGAGTTCTTAGAAAACTGCTTTCTGAAAAAAATTAAACAATGAAAATAATTCAGATCGCAGTCAGAGAACTTGCACAGGTAGAGTTGTGGTAGATAAATGCCATGAGTTTTTGATGGCATGTTTAAATATAACTAGAAGGAACTATATTTCATAGGCAATCCTAAAATTCTTAAGTGTGGTATTGTAAACACAGTATGTGTATTATGGGCACAAAATTACAGCAAGAGTGCGCACAGCATAAAGGAACATTGCTTTTTGCTTCTACTTCACAGCATGTTCATGATCATGATAGTGTTGAACAACATAAATGGAGCTATATTAAATGCTAGGTACTGTTTTTTCTCCATTTTAGTGTTGTCAGAGAAGCTCTGGCCAAACTCACCTGGTGGTTTAAGATTGCCTTGTGGCTTTGTGTCCCAAGCTGTGCTGAGCCACATTGCTGGCCCCCACAGTGCTCAGCCACTGCCTGTGCTGCAGTGAGCGTGGGCAGGGTAGTGCCCAGTGCCTTCCTTCAAACCGCCCGCCGCCATCCTGTTGAGCTGGGGTGCCTCAGCAGGGCTTCATTCTCCGCAGTGGCTCTAGCAGAGATGCTGTCATTGCAGTTTGGGGAATGAGGGTTATGGGGCAAATGCATTTTAAAGCTGCACAGCAAAGCAGAGCCCTTAGTTTGCAAAAATAGTCATTATTTCCTTTTTTAGTGTATATTGTTTGGCTAGTAGCATGCGCAAAATGCCTGTTACTGTAGCTTATGGCTATTTTAATGCCTGTGCACCAGAGGGGAAAATTATTGTTCTTCATTGCCTTGCTGTGATTAAAGTCTTGGCTTCTGTGTGCCATGATGTGCATTTGAAGGGCTCTTTAAATGCCCTTTTTTAGGGAAATAATACAGAAGGGAGAAAAATACGAAAATCTTGAAAGGCCAGAGTGGGCTGGGGACCCTTGACATGATGGATATTGTTGGTTTTTTTAAACTCCCTCCTTCAAATCTGGTCTGCTCGAGGCGTGGTTAAGGTACGGTTCCTTGACTGAGGGCAGCATTTGTGTCTGTCACATCTTAGTGCCTGTATTTGATGAGACCTTATCCTAAGTAGCATTCCAACATTTCGCTGTACAAACTGATCATAAGGCTACAATAAATTGTGGTGGGGCCAGAATAAACACCAAGCCAGTGAGCAGGTCATTTTTATCATTGACTGGTATGTTTCCAATCTTAGAGCAAGGTGCTTCCACCAGCATC